TAGTGTGAGCTCAGTGTTGTGATTTGTAGTGTGAGCTCAGTGTTGTGGTTTGTAGTGTGAGCTCAGTGTTGTGGTTTGTAGTGTGAGCTCAGGTTTTATCTGTTTTGCTCTCACATGTGCTCCAGCTTATAGGACAGTGTCAGGCATATAGTAGATGATCAGTAAATAGTTGTCAGTTGAATGTATGCAGAATCATACACCACAGCAGTGCTGTAGGAATGTAAGGCAGGGTCTCAGAGATGCTGAAGCACAGCCTTATGTGAAAGGCTCACTGAGAGCTCCCAGCCCCATCTGTGGTCCTGAAGGTCCTGCCATGACATCTCTGCTCCCCACCCTTAATCTGTGTTCTTCCTCACAGCACAGGGGATGAACACAGCAGAGGGAACTGGGGTCACCTGGACCAGCTGGCTGCCCTGCGTTGGGTCCAGGACAACATTGCCAGCTTTGGCGGGAACCCAGGCTCTGTGACCATCTTTGGAGAGTCAGCGGGAGGAGAAAGTGTCTCTGTTCTTGTGAGTGATCCTGGCACCAGCCCCAACCCCACGCTTGATGTGATGCTGATAGGACCTCTTGGAGATCTGTCCATCTGGCTATGGATACCTCTGTTTATAATACCTGAGTTCAGGACTGACCCTACTCACTGACTAGCATCAGGGGATGGATAGCTGAAGACCAAGCTCTCCTTGGCCCCCAGGAAACTCAGAGCTAATTTTAGTGTCCTGGAGCCATAAGAATCTCCAGCTGCAGCCTGCAATGGTGGCATTGTCCTCTTCTAGCTTGGCTGAGTTCTGTCTCTCTCTCTCTTTCCCACTCATTTTATCATTCCCTTCTCTTCATAAGCAGGAGCAGGCATAAATTATGAGTAGGGCAGGCACAGACAGAGGTGGACAGAGGTCATTGTTTGGGTCAAGCCAGAACTACGTGTGGAGGGGACATGGACACTGTGAACAGCCCGGGACTTCCCCTTGGGTGGTCTGATGACTGGTCTATGCCCAAGAAGAGGGCAACCATCTCTGTGACTGAGGGTCCCAGTGGGTGACAGGAAGGAGGGATGGAGCTGGGGATGGGGGACACAGACACAACCTGGGGCTGTGAGAGGTCCTGCTGGGGCAGGGGTTGGGTGCAGGAGACACCAGGGGAGCTGGGATGAAAAACCAGATGAGAGGGTGCCGGGAGCTGTAGGAGCCCTCCAGCTGCCTCGAGGTGGGCAGAGGGTCAGTCCCACTACAGTATTCTTCAATCCTGTGTTAGTTTTGTAGTTGAATACTCAGGGAAAACATTTTTATACTTTTGAAAGCATGGAAAAAGGAAAAATACAGGTAAGCCCAAGAAAGATAAAAGCCATTCACTATCCCACAACCCAAGGATAATCACCATGCTGACTTTGACATGAATTTTTCTAGTCTTGTTTCTACGACTTTGTATCTATCTATTCATCTATCCGTCCATCCACCTATCATCTATAATCTATCTTTGTCTTTCTTAAACTACTTTCCTGATTACTACAATACAACACAAATATTTTACTAAACATTAAGTGCTCTCCCTTAATAGTATCTTTTACAGTGGACAGTATTCCATGATGAGAAAGAGAAACCGTTAATTTGCCCAATCTTATAATATTGGAATTGTGAGTTATATCTAGTGCGTACCATTGTAAACAGCAGGAGCATTCTTAGAAATCTTTGTGTGCCTGTGGGATCATTTTTTAGGATAAGCTCTGAGTCATGGAGATGCTGAATTGGAAGTTGTGGCTAGGAGATGCTAAGCTGCCTTTCCAATATGTTTGTTGATTAGGCTTGGCTGTGCCCACAGCTCCTGTTATGTCCCTGCCCTGTGCCCTGTCCCGATCCCGCTGAGGTTCCCTTGGGTGGCCAGGTGGGAAGTGATCTTGGCAAGCAAGCCAGGCCAGGTTCTCTTGGGTGGGAGGTTCTCTTGGGTGGGATGTTCTCTTGGGTAGGAGGGTCTCTTGGGTGTGAGGTGAGCCCAGCAAGAAGGCCAAGCCAGGTGAGGAGCTGTTATGTCCGCTGAATCCCAGAGTGTCTTGGGAACAGGCCAGGGCAGACATGGAGTGGATGTAGCCCAGAAGAGTGAGCTAGTCACTGACCCTACCCCTGAGCATGAACTCCCTTCTATTCTGCTCCCAGGTTTTCTCTCCATTGGCCAAGAACCTCTTCCACCAGGCCATTTCTGAAAGTGGTGTGGCCTTGACTGCTGCTCTGGTGGAGAAAGGCGACATCAAGCCCCTGGCTGAGGTAGGTCTCCCACTGGATGTCCCCACACTTTTGGCTCTGTCACTCTTCTTCACAGGGGTCACTCTTGCCGTGGTCACTCTTGCTGATGTTTTCCTAGAATCACTGAAGTGCTAAAGGCTGAGCAGGAAGGGCAAGGAGACACCTTGACCAGCCGCCCGGTTTCACAACCAGGCAAACTGACACAGGGCTTGGAAGGGATTTCCCAAGGGCAGCAGATGATCAGGGCAGAGCTGGGACTCCAGCTCATGGCCCTAGACAGCAAGCAAGTGCCCTGTCTGTGACCACACTCCTCCTATGCACCGGGGCCAGGTGCCACGTCAGCAGTGGGCAGCGGGCTGAGATGATGTCTTGTGTCTCTCAGGGTCTGAGTTCTGTGGACCCACTTGTGGGATGTAGGCCTGGAGCAGTTTCACACTGAGCACCTTATAACCAGAGTTGGTCCCAGGAGAATTCACTTATTGATTTATTTGTTCATCCAACAAAACTAAGTGAATAAGTGAAGGCAAAAGCAAGAGGTAGGCAGAGGTCATTCTTTGGCTCAAAGCCAGATGTCCATGTGGAGGGGACACAGACACTACATGGTTCTACGTGGCTCTGCATTCTAGCCAGACACCTAGCACCTCCCCAAGCTTCCACTGTGGCTCTGCATTCTAGCCAGACACCTAGCACCTCCCCAAACTTCCACTGTGATGTAGGGAATAGATGAATAGTTACAGAATCACATTATTAGAAAGCATCACTTATGACAAGAGCAGTGGAGGAGATGGACTTGATGCCACAGCAGAATCTAAAGAAAGCATTGAGTCCCGGGGCAGAAGGAGGTTACCGGGCAAGGCTTGCTGGAAAGGTGAACAGTGAGTCAGGAGCAAAGAAGGTCCAGGGAGAGGAGCAGCACATGCAGGTGTCCTGTGGCAGGAGGATGCACCCGATCGTGAGAGAGAGAGAGAGAGAGCAGGGGGAGTGTGGCAAGCGCTGAGGGCGGGGACGTTGGCAGGGGCCATGCCGCACAGGACCCTGGCAAGGATTTTGTCATCATCTGGAGAGCAGTTGGAAGCCAAAGGAAGAGATGATCAATAGGAATCCAGACCTAGGCTGAGGAGCACCCACTGGAGCCAGTGGTGTGGAGGATTTTGGTAGATTTGAGAGTTGTTTGGGGAAAGCATCCAAACTTAAAGGGCTGATACATAGGAGGAGAGAAAATGGAGATGCCAAGAATTTTTAGAATTTTTGATTTTTTTTTAGAATTCATTGGTTATAAGCAACAGTTGCCCATTGACCAGACTTAAGCCAAGAAGGAGTATTAGCCTGCTGTGGTGACTCATGCCTGTAAACTCTGCACTTTGAGAGGCCAAGGCAGAAGGATTGTTGAGCCCAGCAGCTTGAGACCAGCTAGGGCAACAAAGTGAGACCTTGTCTCTACAAAAAACAAAAATTTAAGCTGGGCATGGTGGTGCAAGCCTGTGGGCCCATCTGCATGGGAGGCTGAAGTGGGAGGATCACCTCAGCCCAGGAGGTCTAGGCTGCAGTGAGCTGTGTTTGCACCACAGGACTCCAGCCTGGGCAACAAAGCAAGACCTTGTCTCAAAATCTTCTTTTAAAGGGAGAAATTATTTTTCAATGAAATAGAGGCCTGGGATGAGGCTTGGCTTTGCGAAAAAACAAGAAGCAGAAATTACAAAATGAGAGTCCTAGACTCTGTTATTCTTGTCCCCACCCCACTGCCCATCCCTCGTCTGTCTGTCTTTTTTTTTCTCTCTCTCACCCTCTACTTCTCCCTGTCCCTGTTTATTTATTCGAGAACCATCCTGGGCCTTGATTCTGTCCCATATCCTGCACAGGGCTGTGGGGCTATGTGCACTCGCCCGGGCGCCCCCACCATGGAGCCTGCTAGTCTCCCACTGTGCCCATTTCTCTGGCTGCACTTTGCCTCCAGTCTGCGTGAGCACCCCCTCTGCCCCTCAGCTTAAGGACTCACCTTTGGTTGCAGAAAGCTGTCAGGTTGTATTTTTTGTTGTGAAAAACTAGGGTTTTTTACATGGGCAGCGCTCTACCCCGATTCCAAGTTACTTTGGAGAGAGGTTCACTGTCCAATCTTTGCTTGGATGTCCCTGAACTCTTAGAAAAGTAGGAAACCACAGTGTGCTGGGCAGACTGACCCCAAACCCCAGGACAGGCAAAGGGAGCTTCTCCCTCAGCAGGCATTTTTTTTTTTTTTAAGACGGAAATAGGTTCTTGGTACATCAATTGGTGTTGCTCTGTGGCTTCATTTGGGACAAAGATGCGCAGACCTTGGCCCAGGGCCAAATCTGTGTCTATGCTGCATGGCCTCTGAGCTAAGGATGAGTTTTTAAATTTTTAAATGATTGAAAGGAATCAAAAGAAGAACACTATTTCATGAACCATACAATTATACGAAATTCAAATTTCAGTGTTCATAAAGGAAGTTCATAAATGGAAGGTAGTGGCACCCATTCATTTGCCCCCTGTCTACGGCTGCGTTTCATGCCAACAGCAGTGTTGAGAAGTTGCAGCAGAGACCACGTGA